CCAGGCTGCTTGTGAGCCCTGCTCCCTAAGTCTTTCCAGCCCTCCTGTTGTCCTGGGAATGGTGAGTCACTAGTATTTCTTGCTCTTAGATATATCTATGCATAGCTCAAATATTGTCTATATATATATATATATATATGGCAACAGAACCTATGTTTTGACTCTATTTAAAAATATATTTTAATGCCTCTTGGCATTTTTGACCAAGATATTTACTTCTTTTGAGAGTCTTTATCATTCCTACGTATCAAAAACAGTATCAGTTTTGTCTGTCAATTCCTTGTCACTCCATAAATCTGTGCAGATTTTCTCCATTCTTTTGTGATTTCAACCCTCCTCCCCTCTCCACTGGTTTCTCATTGGTTTTTGTACGTGGCCTGTCAGACTAATCACTGACGTCATTTGTTCACCCGTCCACCCAGTCTTTTTTTAAATGTCTTCCCCAATGCATTTAAAAATTGACATCAGCAAACCATGGATTTTGGCAACCAACGCTTTTCATCACCACTGAGGTTAGAGTGCTTTGCAAAACACCATTTGCAGGAACGCAGCAACAGCGCTGTGCTTTTTTTTTTTTTTTTTTTCTTTCCTTTCCTCCAGCATCACTTACTCCATCCCCCCAAGCAGCCTCAGGCTTTGTGCGGTGGCTTGTTCACTGCTATGGCACCCCATGCACCTCTCTGCATTAGTGTGCTCTAGGTCACCTGTGCCTGCAAATGTAGAAGTGTTTATTCTGAGAAGATCCTGTCGAGGATCCTCCTTAATTGCTAATGGCCTGGAAAGTGCTTCATCATTCCCCTCTGACCACATTCTGCTCTTTCCAAATACAGAACAGATGTATCTGGTGAGTACTTCTCTTTTTTTGCCTCATTTTGATTTTTTTTTTTTCCAATTTCAGCCAAGAAAAAAGGTTTATATTACTGCTAGGATTGATTTTTCTTTAAATATAACTAGAACAACTTGTTAGTGGCCTTAGAAATCCAGCTATTGTTATTTTTTTCTTGAGGTGATGAGTAGCTGAAGACCTTTTTGATACAGCTGAATTATTTTGTTGTCCCTCTGTTCCTTTTCCCCCACCCAGTTTGCAGTAGTTGTTGCAAGGTTTATTTTTATTAATTAAGGTCAGGCTTTATTATAATTTTTATTAGTTATTCTTATTTCTCAGTACTATTGGCACATGGCCACTTATTCAAGGAAGTAGTTTACTGAAAGCTATCTTCTCATGCGTACGAAATCACAGCTTTTTGGGTAACTCAAAAAACTCTCTTCTTTCCAAAGATCTCCCACTTCATCATACTTTTTTAATACCTCCCCTAAGCAATTGCACTGTAAGAAAAGGCTATATAACACTATGCAGTTCTCTGTTATGGCTTTTTTTCCTGGGTGATGTCTTGATTTGTTTCCCAGTTGATTCCTTCTCTTTAGGCAACCATCAATCTTAACCCAGTCTTTATCTGTTGTAAGGACATCTAAAATCATTGCCTCACTTGGGCATGCCATCATTTGTAAGTTGATGAGATACTCTCCACGGCACAGCATATTCTTCGGTATCCCCAGCCAAAGTCTCCCATGACAACATAATTTTCCTTTTCACACAAAGCAGAGAGGTACTTGTGAAATAAATCACCATGTTTTGTTTGGGGATTTGGGAGTATATAAAAGACCCTTCCATGCCTTGATGAAATTGTGTCTCTGAGCATGTTGCTTGGCTGTTAGCTCTAGAGTGAATGTGATTTTTAGCACAGCTTGCAACCCCAATTCACAGTTGCTCTTGCCTATTCCACCTTTACCCAATGGGTTAGACTGGTAAGCTGGCAGTTCTGCGATGAGGCTGTGACCGTTAAAAATATCACTTAACCACATTTCTTCCTACCCTGAGAATTTCTATTTCCTCTGGCATTTTCAAAGCTGAAAACGCTGCCTCTTCCCATCTGTTGTGACATTGGTTCAGCTTGATCGTGACGCCTTTTGGTGGCCGCTCAAGCTCCTTTTCCATAGTGTTACCTTACTACCTTCCCAGCTGTTACAGCTGCTCTCCAAGCTATGAAATCTATAACCCCCTCTGCCAGAGGACCTACAGCATCCTCTCCTCGTTCCCATCCCAAGAGAAAGCGGCCTAAGCATTTAGAAAATTCACATCTAAAACACCTCTCAGTCTCATACAGCCACTGGAAGATTTTCAACAGTGACTGGGCTTCCCTAAAACTGTCTGTAGCCCATCCAGTTCTCCATGCTGTCTTACTATTGCTCCCAGCATTAATCACCATGTGTAGGGGCTTGTCAGATGTTTTCAGGAGCCTGTCCACACATCATCCAGGTGCATCTCCAAGGAGACAGTGCTCTACTGTGTTCTACATTAATTCTGACCTCTCCTCTCGAAAGGAGGTTTCTTACCCGTAACCAGAGTATTTGACATACTTGGTCATCACTTGCAAGCTCTGTGACTTGTGCCACAGGTACCTGAGACAGCAACAACCATAAACATATAAAGAGTATGGCCTTCTTGAGAACAAATGAAGGTTTTGTAGCAGAGGTACAACACTTAGGAAAGCCAATCTCCCAGCTCAAATCTAGAAACAAAACAACTTTCTACGCAGCTTTGATCTCTCCTACCTCTTGGCTAAGAAACACAATAAACGGAATAATAAACAGGTTACCAGGGAATCAAAAGTTGCTCCAACGAAGTCTGTCAGCATCACATTTAGGTCCATCTAAGGAATCCTGAAATGGGGAAAAGCTAACTAACTCACACAAAGCTGAGTTGTGTGGGACAGGTGACAAAGCGCCTTCAGCAGAAGGGTGCTGGGTGGAAAAATACAGGACCTTAAATGAATGGCACTGCCAAAAGGTGTCCTGGAAAACGGATGAGGTTAGGGATGCGAGAAGCAACACAGCGCTGAGCAGTTCCTAGACACCACAGTTCCCAGCAGGGCTCATGGTGGAGAGAAGCAGGCTAGATACTCCCCAAAGAATGGAGAGAAGCCCACAGAGAAGAGTTAAATAGATGGAAGGTCCACATCTCCTCATATCCAGCATCAAAGATGTGGGGGTCACTACTGATGGACAAGTAGATGCAGGGGAGATGGTCCGGCTAACACTGGAGGCCTTGGGCTGTGCTTCCCATGCTGAGACATTGCTGAGGCAAAGTATCATCAGTGTTGTGTGTCCTGCCAGTGAGATCTCAGGGACTGTCACACCGGTGGGGGAACAGAGCCTATTGCTGGTGATGCAATTCACCAGAGAACGGCATCTTGCACACATGGGTGGGGGAGATCTCAGTTTCACTGCAAATGAAGTTCTGACAAGCAGTGTGGGACTGGGGTCCCCACGTATCCTGGTACATGGGCATCTGGCAGCACCAGCTGCTCCTCTGGGCAATGACTGCTTGAGGCAGAGATGTTGGTCCTTCTGTGCTTCATGCTTGAAATCTCTCAGGGTACATACTCTACAGTCCTGTGGGTTTCTTAAGCAGTACCGAGAGGCCAAGGTACACGTCATGGATTATGCAGGGCGGGAAGCCAGACTTAGCCAGCCACTCACAGAGATCTCTGCAGCAGAGAAAGAGCAGAAAATGCTGCAGAGACACGTACGGGAAAGGGGATTTGCATGAACAAGAAGAGCCTCCAGGCAGGATAGAAAGTGATCCCTGATCTACTGCGTGAGGCATCATCACTCGAAAGAAAAAGCCCAGATTAAAATACTTCCTCTGGCTTTAGCTCTTTTAGGAAGAAAAATAAAAAAAAGGGAAGAGGGAAAGAAACAGAAACAATCATGCAAGACAGTGTGGAGGTGAGGCCTATGGTGAAGGCCCTGTCTCAGGGCAGGCACTGAGGCACACACCTCCCATCCGCCCACATGCAGCCAGGGCAGGGGAGCACACCTCTGCTGCTATCCAGCACCCTGCTGCTCCCATGAAATGCTCTCCCATCCTCCCCGTGAGAGGCAAAGATGGCACTCGCGAGTCGGAGCCCAGCCACAGCAGACCATCGGCTGAGGAACTGCCATTTCCCAGCGCCAGCAGCAGTGCCCCAGCTGCGCCCTGGCCTGGAGGTTTCCTCAGCTGCTAACTTCTGCCATTTGCAGGGCCTCGCCTCCCCGCCTATCTACCCACCCAGCTATCTTAGCCCACGCTGAAATGCCAACACATGCCTTAACATGACTTACAGGCACAGGCAGAGGACCTCACCCTGCCCAAACGCTGACCCTCTGTACTGCAGTGCGCAGATGCGCCGGTGCTCGCAGCTCAGGTGCACAGCAGCGTTAGTTACCCAAGCCAAACCAACGGAGATAAACTGTTGCATCCCTCAGCCCCCATTTTATCTACCTTACCTAATCTTAGAGATGATCCAAAAACTCTACTGCTATCTACTTTCTCTTCCCTTCAGGACCTTTTTGTGAGAAGCGTTTTTCTCTGGAGCTTCACCTGCCTTGGCTGTGCAGCCTGGGTCCACTGCTCAGCGGACAGCCCTGCAAAACACTGCCTCTCAGCAGGCTGCTCGCCCTCTCCTGCCACCCTGCCGGGCCTCAGCCTCCCATCACCAGAGGAGCACGTGCAACAGCCAGCCAGGCAGATGCTACAAGAGATGGTGGGACAGGGGAACCCCCACTGCAGTTACACCAAGGTTGGACGTGGGACTGAGGGCAGGTGAGAAGATGCTCTGGGATGCCCTGTTGTGGCAGAGGAGACCAGGCGCTGGGAGAGGAAGGTCCACAAGTCGCGAGCCATGTTCAGCTTCCTTTCCAATCCCTCAGCCTCAATGATGCTCTAGGTTAAGAACAAAGCAGCCCATGCAGCACCGGTGCTACACATGGCCCATCAAGGGCCAGTGGCTCCTAGAACAGGGATCTCGCCACTGTCCCATCTGCCAGTCCCCTCTGGCACGCCCAAGGGATGGGATTGTCCCATGGGAGGCCCCCATTGATGTGGGCTTGGGGATCCAGTGGAGGACACAGCGCAGATCCCGCGGCAGCACAGTGAGAGCCCACACCTGGCGAAGCTGTAGAAAAGGAAACTGTCCCATTTAATGACCCCTTGCCCCCGTAACACAGACGCGAGCGCACCGCCAAAGTGCGGCAAAGCAAAGTGCACGGTGAGCGGGAGTTGGCCCCTGCCCCAGAGGAGGCAGGGGGCATCAGGGTGCCCGGCGCAGCACGGGGACCAGCCAGGCACCTGGCCAGCAGCAAGGCCAGAGAGAGCCCCGGGCTCGGTCCAGTTGGCACCAGGGTCAGGTCCAGTTTGCAGGGAGGTACGGCTCTCGTTCGGCTCCGTGTGGTGCAGGGAGGGCAGGGGGCAGATCAAGTGTACTAGGACAGAGGCTGGAGGAGGTGGGTATGGGGGAGCCTGGGGACAGGTCCTGGAGAATGCCGCCTCGGCAGGTTTGGAGCCTCCCTGCCCGAACCGCGGTTTAACCAAAGCAGGGGAAGGGAATAGAGAAGGGGCTGGAGGCTGAGTGGCCTGGGCCCTCAGGTCTATCTAGCTATTCCCATTTGCAAGACATCCGGTGGCAGGGGGGTGCGGGATCTGCCAAGCACCCCAAACCGGGAGTGAGCCTGGGCGACAGACATTTACCAGCGGCTCCACGTCCCTGACAGTCTCTCCCAGGCGTGGCTCAGGCACCCCTGTGCCAGGAAGGGGGTCCGAGGGAGCGGGGCCTCCCCTCATTATCTGATGGAAGCGTCGCTGGGGGGGTCGCGGTCAGACTCCTCGCTCTCCTCGTTTGGGGCTGACTCGCTGTTGGAGGCTGGGGTGAAGGCAGGAGACTTTCTGCAGAGAAGACCAAAGGACAGCGGTCACAGCACCACCCAGGGGGAGGGAAAGGACCCAGTTTGGTGTGGGCAGGGGGCACCAGAGCAAGCAGGAGAGAAGCTGAAGTGCCCCTGTCACTCCCCTGGGACATGTGTGGGTTCGCGGGAACCCCTGGGTGCTGGAGAGGGTGTCCCAGAGGACATCAGCCAAGAGGTCCAGAGCATGAAGCAGGGCTGGCGGAGATGCCGGAGGAGCCTACCCAGAGCAGGACCCTGCCAAGGCATGTGAGGCTAGGGGTCAGTGAAAGCCCACCACAGAGGCCCCCAGCCTGGAGCCACCCTGGCTCCACACACCTGTGGGGACCTATACAATGTCCCTGCACAACGGCAGCTCCTCTCTCCATTGGGGGTGTCCGGCTTCACCTGTCAAAACTGACTCCTGTGTGCAGCCCACTTTCTGCAGAGGTGGCACCACGACCTGTGTGGAGGCTGGTCACCACGAGTCCAACGGCCTCTGGGAACTGCCCTCTCTCCATGCCACACCAGGGCAGGGCTGGAGTACTACCCTGTGTTTCAGCTCCCACTCACCACCACCCTGGCTCCAGTTCTTGCCCAGAGCATGGGTATCTCGGCCCTCCCGCTGAAGCTCACCTGTCCCCAGACTGGGTGATGAGCCGCCGGCAAGTCTCCATCTGCACGTCCAAGCCTCGCTTCATGCTGCACATTTCCATGTACTCATGCAGGTGCCGGTTCATGTCATTCTTGGCTGTGGCCAGCTCCAGCTGCACAAGGGAAACGGTGCAGAGATGAGCCCGGGGCACGGTGTGGTGCAGGGTAGGGGGCGCGGCCAGACCCAAGGCTGCTGCCCCCCATTACCAACTACCTGCTCCAGCATGGTGTCTCCCTCCCCCGGGGACCCACTCCCGCATTTCACCCCCTTCTGTGTCATGTCCTCCCCACTTCCTCCTCCTCCTCCTCCCACCTCTATTTGGTCGATGGTTTCCTGGTACTCCTTCTCACGGCTCTTGAACAGTGACTCGGTGTCCTTGATCACCTTCTCCAGGCTGTCATCCTGCTGTTGGGGAGAGCAGACGGCATGTTTAGAGGCAGGGAGGTGTCCAACATGAGGAACCAAAGGCAAGAGAGAGAGCAATCAGAGAAAGAACTGGCAGCACTGGGAAAAGAGGAAGAAACATAAGCGGTGTAGTATAAACAATGCACGAGTCAGTCCTGCCAACATGGTGTAGAGAGACCCAGGACTCGCCACACTGGGCAGTGAGCACGTCAGTCCAGAACAAGCCCAGCAATGCACAGAAGCTTTGGAGAGCACAGAGCATCCCCAAGCGCGACACATCCCCAGGGGACTGCTGAGGGCTGAAGATGTGGGATGGTGAGGGCTTTGGCCAGACACTGAGGCCTCTGTTTGGGCGCTGTTGCTGCACAGCGGGCAGGTGGGCTGGAGAGCCCGAGCAAGGGACCGCCAGAGACCAGACCAGCCAGAGGAGGTCTTCTCTTCTGGGAGGGCTGTGGCTCTCCCCACATGTGAGGGCCATGCCCTCAGCACATCTTTCTGGCTACAGGTCCCTGGTCTGCCTAACATGGAGACCTTCACAAGGACGCAGTAATATATTCACGTAGGGAAGATGGGGTGAAGAAGGGAAGCATCTGTACAGGCCTGCAAGGGATGGAGGGGCTGAAGTCTGGTCTTTGAGGGAGCATCTTTGCAGCCTCAGGTAGGACTGAGTGTCCCAATCCAGGGCTGGATCCCCGAGGGGACCTGACACCACTGTTACCTCCCCCTGCACCTCTGCGGCTGCAATGGCGTATCCGGAGAAGTCCTCCCAGAGGAGCAGCGTTTCTTCTGTCTCTTCCCACGTGAGGCTGTCACAGTCATCCTCAAAGTCATATTCCCTCCTGGGGGCAATGGAACAAGCACGTCAGCACCCAGCAGGAAAACCCCAGCAGGCAGGGCAGGCAGGGGGCCATGTCAGTGCCGAAAGCCTTGCCCCAACTCACAGGCAGGGCTGCAGCTCTTGGAGGTTTGGCCAGGGTGAGCTCAAGTGTGCCCAAACCCAACAGTTGGATGGGGAAGGGGCTGGCTTATGGTCAGGAGCCCTGGCAAATTCAGGCAGGGACTCCTGAAAGGCAGGAAGAGGGGCAAGAGGAGGGGAGCTGGATCAGCTCCCACCCACGGCACGCGTGGGCTCAGGTCTCCCCGGGGGTCAGTCCCACCGCGTCGCAAAGCACAGGGTGTACATACCCCGTGGCAGCACCTCCCATCGCACCCTCCCCTGGGAAGGGGAGCTGGAGCCCGCCCCTGCCCTCCCCATCCCAGGCACCAGCGGGAAGCCTGGTGCTGGAGCCTCGCTAGATGCCGGTGGCAGAGGTGCGGAGCAGCTGCACTCACAGCTGGTTCAGCATCCTCTGCATTTCCTCATTGATACTCATGGCCGTGGTCTCGTCCTCCTCTTCCTCTTCAGGCTTTCGGGAGGCATCGCTCTCCGACAGTGAGGTGTCTTCGTCACTGACCTGCTTGCGCTCCCGCTTCCGCCCCACCGAGGCTGGGACCTTAACGGGAGACAAGTGCAGAGACTACAGAAACGAGGCCGGGTCCGAGGTCAGGAGCAGATAGTTGGAAGGAGATGGAGGGGGAAGGAATGGTGGAGGGACAGAAAGGCAAAGAAAGAAAGAAAGAGAGAAAGAGAGAAAGAGAGAAAGAGAGAAAGAGAGAAAGAAAGAAAGGAAGAAAGGAAGAAAAGCGAGAAAGAGAGACACGGGCTCATTATGATCAGGTTAAAGATGGTGCAATGGATAAAATATGGTTTTAGCATTTTCTAAAATTAAAACTAAGCAACTAAAGATGGAATCTATGAATCTGATGAGAAAAAACAATGTGGTTTTACTGCAGAAAAAACTCAAATCACCCACCACCCCAGTCCAGAGACAGGGAAACACAGCAACAGAAACAGGAAAAAAGAGACAGAGTCTGAAAAAGGTGAAATATGTCAATATTTACAGTCCAACATTATTTACAGAAAGTTTAAAATTTGTACACTTTCCCAACTGAATGGAACTAACCAGTTGCTTCTGTAGGGACAAAGAGAGCAAGACAGAAAGGCAGCGACATCCAGAAAGAGAAAAGAGACAGAGACAGAAGAGAGACAGAGAGAAGATGACGGAGAGGGGAAAGGGAAGGAGAGAGATGGAGTTAGAGACAGAAATCAAGCAACTTGTCTCCCTCCTGCAGCTGCTCTCCTACCACTGAGGGGTCCCCTGGCCCAACACAACAGGTGAGCGAGAGGTTGAGGGGACTCTCGATGCCCAAAGCAATATCTGGAGCTTTCCACCTCCTTTCCGTGCCCTTTCACCTGGTCCTCCCGAGAGACAGAGAGCAAGGGACCACAAGGAGCAAGGGTGAGGGTGACCAAGCGTCTCCCCTAGCAGGGGGCTGGTGTTGTCTCTTCTAACTCCTTTGGGAACTCTCCTCCCCAGAGCTGGCGGCTGAGCCTGGAGCAGCAACAGGCACTTCTCACCTGAAACATCTTGATCATGTCCTCGCAGTTCCGCTGCTGCGCCACGTCACACAGCTTGGCAGTGATGTCGATGCGCCGGCAGATGTCCATGTCCACCTTCATGGCCTTCTCCTGGATCTTGGTGTCCAGCTCTGTGATGTTCTGAACCCATGGTGCCGCAGAAGGGGGACAAAGGAGGAAGATTAGGCAAGGCAAACGGCAATCAGAGCCCCCACATTCCCCCCTGTGCTGCAGGACTGCATCTGCATCCCCACTTTGCTGACTGCACCCCGGACCAGCCCTGCCAGACCACCTCTGTGCTGGACGTGCCCCACCAAGGTACTGCTTTTCTACGCAGCCCCACCACTCGGGTAGGACACTGCTGCTGGGTTGGAGAGGGGTTAGGGACTCACATTGCTCATCAGTCCCTTGAAGACAACAAGCTCTGCCTTGAGCTGCTCCACCTTCATGGCCAGCTCCTCCTGGCAGGCTTCAGCCTCCTGGGCTTCCTGTCCCGGGCAGAGGGAGATGTGCAAGTCAGCGTCAGCGCAGGCCAGCTGGGGTGCAGGGGAAGGGGGAGGCAGCGATGCTCACCTCCTGCAGCTCAGTCACCCGGTCCTGAAGCTGGACACGCACCGTGTACTCCTCTTCCCATCTAGGGAGACAAACGCGCTGGTCAGATCCCACTGGCCTCGCCTCGCCGGCTGCCGGAGAGCAGCAGCTGCTCACCTCAAAGCTATCCAAGAGGGGGTGATGACGGCACTGGGGTGGGAAGGAGAACGTGCCCAGGAATGCATTGCTGCTTGTTTCCAGATGACGGCAGCTGCCAAACGCCCGTCAGCCCCCCCGGCCACGAAGCCTGCCTCACCACGCTCTCCGCTGTCCCTGCCGTGGGCTGGCCAAAAGCTGCCTGCTCTGCAACAGGGGGAGCTGGGGACACCAACCGCAGGCTCCGCGTGGGGGCGGCGGCGCCCCCCCCCCTGCCACGCTGGGGCTGGCCCACGGCCCAGCGCAGCCCACCGGCCTCTCCATCTGCCCCTGAGCCCCTTGGCCTTGGGTCACATTAGGTTCAGGTCCAACACTCAATAACGGGCTTGCAGTTATTGCAGAGTTGCCCCCATCTGCGTCATATTTGTGACTGCATTTGTGTGTCTGCAGTGTTGCAGTTCAGGCTGTCCTGAAGCACGAAACCCAACCTCATACCAAACCACATTACAGCGTGAGTGGCCATGATGTGTGTCAACACGAATGGCTGCTCTTCTGCCTGTACCAATGCAGAGGGCTGCCAGGCCACGCTACCTGGGCAGGGGCATAAGTCTCCTTGGCTGTACTGCCGCGTAACAGGCTGGATTAAAGAACATTGTTTCATCCTACAAGGAAACAGGACGGGTTGTCCCAATTTATGCCATGTTGGCCGGTGGGTATTAGCTGTATTAGGCTTTGCAGCTTTGCAAAAGGCTGAGCTGCAAGGTGCCTGGCCTTGCTATACAAAGACACATCGCCTAGCAATTATTACATTATATTTCGCTGCATGAGATCATCATCTTGGGCCATGCTGCGGTGTTGGCCCAGTCCATGGTCTGTTGGGAGGCCACCAGGCTGTACTGCTCTTTGCTAAATTACTATCCTGTAGAGCAGACGGGTTAGCATCCGCTGCAGTGCGGCACGGGGCAGGGCTGCTGCATTCTTACCTGGCTCCTGGCTCTTCTGGGAGAGCCAGATTTCTCTGAGAAAGTGGGATTTCTCTGGGAAAGCAACCAGAGCTGGGCCCTGCCTGGTGCTGTGATCTCCGGTTTCCATTTAATGCTTGCAAGCACTAACACAGGCACTGCGACCCTGCACGAGAACGTGAAAAAATCTCGCCTCTCGCTTACTCACACCAAGTTTGAAAAATAAATCCTAAAGTCTAGGAGACCAGAAAGCACATGAAAAACCCTCACACTTGTTATCTCGGGGTATCAGGACAATCTGACAACATGGAAGAATCCTGGCTTATGAATTTCTAAGCTCTTAAGGCTGGCAACGCTTCTCCTTAATCAAACAAGGAGAAAGTGTGCAATTGTTGTGTTGGTGTTGGCTCCATCCTGCAGCTACAGAAGGGGAGTCAAAGGGGGTTCCCATCCCTTTGGGGGAAGAGGGAGATGAAGAGAGAGGGAAGGAATAAGTTAAAAGGTAGAATTGCCCTTATATGGGAACTGTTCAAACACGGCCTCCCTCCCCGGGGAGAAAAACGCCTTTCACCATAAGAAAAAATTTTCAGCATCTTTCTCGGCATGGCGCTTCCTCTCTTTTTCGGTCTCCGCCTCCCTCCGGGTCCCTACATAGCCCAGATTTACTGGGGAAGTAAAGCATAGCTGCAAATCCTTGGAAGAATTCATTTCACACCAGTGCTACGGAAGATGAGGACAGATCAGATAAACACTGATTTAAAGGCAGGAGGCAACAGCGATTCACCTCGCAAGCGACAAATCTGCACGCCCATCCATTACAAACCTTTCTCCTGCTTGCCTCCTGCCTGGCTCCTTCTTCCCTGCTCCCTCCTGCAATGCACCACTCCTAATAATAACCTGCCTGCAGCACTGCACCCGCAGCCCAGCACGGCCGGCGGCTGCTGCCAGGTCACTGCCGGCTGGAAGCAAGGCTGCCCCACACAACCCCACGGCCACCGGCGCATGCCAAGGGGAGACGTGCATCCTTCCTGCACCGCCACAAGGCAGCAACCTGCCCAAAGGCTGAAATACAGGAGAAGGCAGAGAGCAAGAGCAGGAGGGTCCCAGCAGCAGACAGACCTGGCCATCTCCTTGCTGGCTACAGGCCAGCCCTCCCAAAGCTGGGGACGTGACAAGATGCCTCGCTGTCCCTACAGCTCCACACTCCCCCCCCCCAGCAAGGTGCACCCCCTCAAGAAGTTCACTTAGCAAAATAAACAACCCCCACATCTTTGAAAATCCTGTTCACTGCAAAAGGCACTGGGGTGCCCTACCCTATGCTGCACGGTTAGTGCAGGCTGGTGCTGCGGGGCACCCTACGGGCTGTTCGGGGCTTGAAGCTGCATGTCTCCCTCTCTTGTGCCGTGTTTGAACTATGTTTGAGCTTCACCTTAATGGTGAATGCCTTGCAGCCTGGCGCACCTCCTTGGAGGGCAATTACAACAACAAAAGATCTTCTTGCGGCCTTTCAGTATATAAAGGAGGCTTCTAAGAAAGATGGAGAGAGACTTTTTACCAGGGCCTTTAGTGACAGGACAAGAGACAACAGTTTTAAGCTGAAAGAGGGTAGATTTAGATTGGACATAAGGAATAATTTTTTTATGATGCGGGTGGTGAGATACTGGAGCAGGTTGCCCAGAGAAGTTGTGGATGCCCCATCATTGGAAGTGTTCAAGGCCAGGGCTTTGAGCAACCTGATCTAGTGAAACCCCATGGCAGGGGGTTGGACTAGATGATCCTTAAAGGTCCCTTCTAACCCAAACCATTCTGTGACTCACTGTGCCATAACACTACTCACCCTACACCTCCAGCATGTCCTTGCAGCATCCAAGATAAAAACTACTTGGCAATACAGATGTAGCAGACAGCACAAACCTGATGAGCCTCTCAGATCCCCAGTGCTTGGCGGGCCTGTATGATACTCGCAGGCACCCTTTGCCCCCTCTCCAGGCCACCTAGCCTCAGTCTGCTCCTCCCAAGTGTGGCTCCTGTGAGCCTCTCTCCTGCTGCTGCATCTCTTCTTGTCCCTCCCTATTGCCCCCGTACCCCTCCTAGATCCCAGACTTGAATTTCAGGCCCTGCATATCCAGAGAGAAGCTCCTCCTGCTGCACCACTCCGAGTGCCGTGGGGTGCACGGTGGCAACACTGCCCTGAAGAAAGTGCAAGGTCAAGCACCTAAGCCATGGGTCAGAAAACCGGGAAGTCCTGTGTTAACACGGTCTCTTCTCTCTGCCCCCAGGCAGGTGGCAAAGGGGAGACACCAGCCGCACTGTCCCCACGGCAGATCAGAGCCTGCCATGGCAGGGAGGTCTCTGCTCCTGGGGGATGTTGGTGTCAGCCCTCAGCATGGGGAAGGGTGTGGAAATGGGATCCTCCTGTCCCATTCCCCTGTTTGGGACCTGGCTGCACCCATCAGAAAGTTCTCAGTGCTGGAAAGGGTCTGGGGGTGGGGTCTGCTTTCCCCCAGCTCCTGGTAACACAGTCCAAAAATAGATCCCACCAACAACATTGGCCCGCAGCAGCTCGTGGTGCCCCCCTGCCTGCCCCCAGCATCCCCGCTCCCTCCGTCACTCCCCCTGCAGCCTTCCCCAAAGCCCGCTTGCCAGAGCAGGACAACCCTGAAAAGCTCTCCTTTCTCCCAAAGTTTCAGCAGCACCGACAAACCCAACTTGGTCCCCTCTGGCTGACCCGCTTTGAGCAGGTGAAGCTCGAGCCCTCCAGGCCAAAAAGGTTGCTCCAGCTCCCCGCTATCTGATCTGAAAACGCAAGGCAAGGAGAGCTGCCCGCCCCTGGAGAAGGAGCCCGACCCCTGGCTTAATAATAGAAGGCCTTAGCTACACGCAGCAATCAGTGGGAAAGAAGAGATGCTCTTCCTTTCCACGTGCCTTGCTCGGTGCCCTCGGAGCATCCGACAGGCAAGTCTGCTCAGCCAAAGCCTTATAAAGCCAAAAACACAAGGTGTAATCTTGGATCCCCAGGCTTGATCTTGGCACCAGAGCCCATGGTTGTGAAGCACTGGTCAGCAGCACGGCTCCCGGGGGTAGAGCACACCGTTTCGCTCCTTTGGGTACGTAATCAGTTACTTTTTAATTGCTTCTAAAGCATCATAAAGCAACTTTTCTTCTGAAAAAAAAAAATCAGTCGCTCGGGTGGTGTCAGTCACCAGTGATGGTCTCGCCTGGCCCCACGCTCTGCCCCGTGCCCTGACCCAGCGACGCCAGCCCTCTGCCTGATCTCATCCTACGTGCGGATCTGGGAGCAGCCTCGGAAACTGGCTTGAAACAAAAGTGCCGCCGGCGTGATGTGAGAGCGGCGACCGCCCCGCATAGGAAAGAAGAACCGGCCAAGAGATTAGTTTTGCATTCTGCTTCGCCCTTCTCTGAGGCACGTGCCAAGCCACAGCTATTTTGGGTCAGGAGGAAAGCCCCCGAGGAGTGGGGTGCTCCTGCACGGCTCGCTGCTGCTGAGGCGCCGGCTGGGAGAGCACTGGGGAGGGAAAGGGTCCGGGGGAGCCAGCCGCCCAGTCGAGGGGCTTCTCGGCACCTTCCTACGTATCCAGAGAGCCCTCCTCTTCCCAACAGCCTTTTCCAACCCAAACCCGCTCACTGCTGCACATTCACCTTCCTCACCTACTTTCCGGCTGCTCCTCCTTCCCGAGTGTTTGTAGATCCCCTCCCACTTAAAACGCCAGCTCCTGGAGTCAAGTTATTTCTTCCCTGCTTGGAAAGGCATTTCTAGTCCCTCGTGCCAGGTTGTTAAGATGAAAAAAGGCTCATCGAGCATCCCGAGAGGTTTCAAACACCAGGAGGCAAGCGAGGAGACCCAGGCGCAGACGACTGCTTTCAGGGGTCCATGTTTTTGCCTTACAACCCCACCTCACGCTGCCTGGATCCCGCGCTCCCGGGAAG